ATTGGAGACACCTTTTGCTACAGATTTCTCATTTAATTACTTTACCTGTTTAAGGAATTTTGGGGCATGTGTATGTGGATGTGTTTTAAGAACACAAGTGTTTCTGGAATAAGGTGGTCATGAGAAAAATACAGTGTTTTGTGGAATGTTTGAATACAGTGTACAAAAAGTTAAAGTAAAATTATATGCTGTATACTTCAATGATCTAGCAGGTGTCTTCAAACTACGGCCTGTGGGCCACATGCAGCCTGCCTAGGACATTTATCCAGCTCACTGGGTGTTTTTCCTGCCGCTGCCTGTCCTGCTTAGCAGCCTACTTGTCCCGGGCCCTGCAGTCCGGCCCTCCAACGGTCTGAGGGACAGTGAACTGGCCCCCTGTTTAAAAAGTTTGAGGACCCTTGAATTCTATTGGGTCCAAAATGTATTAGGCTTTTAAGTGTAAAACCAAAATACCCCATGTTGGAAGACATGATAACAACCACATAATCTTTGCATTTTATTTCAAATTTTTCTAATTGTTTGCTTGATTTTTCTTTCCTAGGGCAAATATAGGCTAGAGAATAAACCTCATTCACACATAATAGCTTGCACTAGTTTTCAACAATACAGCATAGCAGCATATTATAGCAGTGATCACCTTAATTTTGATCTGGCCTCTAGGCAAACAATCCCAATTCCCATCAGAACATGGTAGAATATGGCCATATCTGGGTCAATAATAAATATTAAGGGACTTGACTAGGTTTCACAAGGGGGTTTCAGTATTTCAGTTAGATCAAATACCTTAAACAGAAATAAAAGTGCAAAAAGCTCATGTAACAAAGCAGGAAAGAATAGCAATTATTTCTCCATAGTAACATTATTTTTCTTTCTGTTTATCCTTAATTTTTGTTACATCAATTTGGCAGAACAGAAACTGAATATGAATACAGACACTGTAAATTTTTAATAAAGGAAATATGACAATATAATTTAAATCAGATTCATATTTTAATTTTAGAATAAAAAGCAATAAAACAAGTGATTTATTCATTCATAAAAGAAGGCTGAAAATCTAGAATGAAATTTTATTTGGCCATTAAACATATAGCACCTCTCTTTAAATTGGTGGGGATCTTATCTTACTCAATGAAGTTAAATATTAATTTTATACTTCTATTTACAAATTGGAAACACATCAATATCAGTACAAGTTTAACAGAGCATGTGCCTTTTACCTCATTATACTCTGTTCATTCTAATTTCTTATATTAAATTTTGTTTAACTTTTACAGCTTCTCACTAAGAGGAATGTTACAGTGCTTAAAAATAGCTGCTCTAATTTACTGTCTATTCATCACACAAGATGAGCTAATTGTTTTCAGACAATGTCCTAATCAGATACAGTGTTGAAATTTAATGAAATAAATTTTATTGGGTTGATTAGGTGGTAGAATTGCGGATTGGGGGCATACTACTTTCTACAATATTTGTAATGAGTGATGGCACTTAAAATTGTTCCCAGTGAAATCATCAGCCTCATAGGCAAAACCTTGTGGTACTGAATCGAAAAAGTGAATGAATTCACCAACATACAATTTTTCATTTAACACAATTTTTGAAGATGACAGTCTTTCCATCCATGAATCTGAACCACCCAGCAACAAAAACTCTGTTTACCCCATGTTTCAGGAAAAAAATGTAGCCATCGCTTTGATAAAAACCTGCCTCTTAACTGCAGGCTGAATTGCAGGTTGTAGGATATTATGGTTCCAGAGACAGAAATTCAGAAATTAGAATTCTACATAACAAATATTTTGGGGAGAGGGAATGAGAAAATATTGAGATAATAAAAATTGCAATGGCCTGATTATAAGGGTATAAGTGCATGATTCAGGAAGAATGTAAACTGATAGTAATATGAATATGAAATACTCTAGAAGAACAATTATCTTAGCTATATAGATTTTCATAAAGGCCATAGTTTTATTGTCTTTAGTGGAATATATTAAGTATAAAAAAACACAAATGTGTCTTAAACATATTTATACTGAAAGTTATAAGGAAATATGTATATATATGTATTCCAGATATACATGGGCTTAGAAATATTTTGATTTTGATTCAAGAGTGCTAGCTCAGTAGTCAATACTAAAGAAATAATGGACAATATAAATAATCTTTATGTACAGGGACATCTGTAATTACAAATTGCCACTAAATAAAATATCAAACAATACCTAATTGTTAGTTATGTACATCAATCTTCTCAAAGACTTTTTTTTAATTATTTAAGATTATAAAGTGTGTCTTTTAAAGTTAAATTTAAAATATCAGAATGCAATATTATAGTTTACATTAAAGGACAATCATACTTAAAAAAGGAAGAATCAAGGAAAATTAATTGGTTCTTTTTTTTCTTTATCTTGGGAATCATTAACAAGGATATCTTTTGTAAATAAGGGAAAAAACTCACTAAACTATAACTAATGGCCACCATAAATCTCCATATGAAAATAACTTGAAAGCAAGCAATAATTTTGTGGTTTTTATTTAATTACTGATTATGTAAGAAAGCAAAATATTTGCAAAAATTTACTAATTTTATTTAGTAAGGTACTTATATGAATATATTATTCATGAACTGGGAAGCTCTCAAACATAGCTATACACCAAGTACTGTCAAGGTGGACTTGCTAACGTGGGCTGCCACGGCACAGGGCCTGCTATCTTACTTTCTGGGTCAATTTTAAGTGACTAATGTAAAATGGCTAGAGAAGGAAGAAAAGTTAAAACTCATCAATGTTGGCATTTATTACTGTTTAACAGTTAGTAACTATAAGTTACTATTTATTCAGTTTGAATCTTTTAAAATTTTGTAGTATATATGTGTCAACAAAGAAGTCATAAATGGTTCATTAATTTCCTAAAATAATGCATGTGTTTATGTGTATGTGTGTTTGTAAACCCTAGTGTAGATTTTATTTACCTAAGCACTGACCTCTGACTTATTAACAACGTAGATGAATTTTAGTCAATTACCAAAGTACCCATAAATATGCAGTCGTGTTCATTTTACCTAAGCACTGACCTCTGACTTATTAACAAAGTAGATGAATTTTAGTCAATTACCAAAGTACCCATAATTATGCAGTTACGTTTGTTTCTTTTCTTTAAATTTGTATATATTCATGGGCTACAAGTACAATTTTGTTACATGATATATCGGATTGTGGTCAAGTCAGCCTCACGTTCATTTCTCAGTGAGGCAAACTACAAATTCCCCAAACAGCAACCAAAATAGAGGAACTGTTTTCTACTTCCATGAAAGCTTGGTTATATTCTCCATGTAAAAGACCAACAAAGTAAACACATTTATTCTTTGAAGTTGATAAAGAACCCATGTCAGGCAGGTTTGGTTGGGAAACAAAAAATATTTCTTTCTTAGACTTACAAAGAACTCTTCCTTAGGTGTGTAAAGATTGATAATTCCTATGTGCTAATGTCATAAGCTCACTTAGGCCATACTGTGCTTTCAAAAAAACACTATGCCTCTTTCTAACTTGTACAAGTTTTACAGAAGATGGTTTTCTTTTTGAAATGGTACACACAAAATGTATGACACATCTTTTCCCATCCTTCATTATAAGTATCCACAATTTTTATGTAATCTTTACCACATAGGTTTTTATACAGATTCTTGAATATAAAATCCTGGGATTTAAAAATTCCTTCCTTTAAAATGTCATAATCAGTTATGTGATTTGGAAAGTGTGTATGTGTCTGTTGAGTTAAAATAGGTCCCTACTAACATGATAACAAATTTTATTCTTTGCAAAAGTTTATCAAGCAAAACAATTTATAAGTGAGGCTCCCTCTACTTCACATAAAAAATTAGGTTCCCTTAATTCTACCTGCTTAATATAATTATTTTAATAGTTTGATATAAAAAACCCAAATTTTATTCATAAGTAAATGTATACATTCATTTAGAACATAAATGGAATCACATTAAACATTAGTCTATAACCTGTTTTTCACCTTAACAATATACTATGGAAATCAATCTACAGCTTTTACTGTGGAAATTATGTATGTTCCAAATTATTTATTTCAGCCTTGATTAAAATTAAAGTTAAAACCATGACAATTATTTGGATAGCACAGACATAAAGTTTTGAGACTCCAAAGCCTTAAGCTGACCAATTAAAATATGTATCTAGAAAATGGTAACTATTTGAGGATACACGCAGCTGTAATGGCTCTAAGAACATAAACATAGTGAGGGTGGGCAAAGATGCTGTGCCACATTCATAATTACTCTACATTTTGCAAGTATGAAGTGATTGTTGGCTAGTTTATAAAAATCTCATAAAGATTCCATTTCAGCTATAATGGCTTGTCATTATAAATCCTCTTACCTATGAGAGCAGGATGTTTATTTATTTAATTTTGAAGGATACTTTATTTTCTCATAAGATGTTTTCCATTAGTAATTGAATTCAAATTCTCTCATTAACCTAGTTGTATTTAAACTGCTTAATGTGGACTCACTTTTCTTTTACAATTAAATGAAACTGATTAAATTGTTAATATCCTTTTGAAGGTTAGAGGAAAATCATAACCTTTTCTCCTCCTTTTCTCAGAAAGTCCATAAAGTATAACACTGACTCTGTTATATTTTGTATCATAAAAGGCATATGTCATTTACCTTAAAATTCTATTTTGTCTTATTTTTTAAAATCTGCCTTATATTTGCTTGTGTGTATAACACAATTTATTCAATTCTAGATTCCAAAGCCCTCACATCCTAGCACACATGTAGCTCACTGCATTTTATTGAGGGTTGAGACTGTTTTGTGGGAAGATAGAGCTCGAATGCACGGCTGTGGATGGAGGTCTTCTTCCTAGATGTCTTCAAGTTGGATTGTGGGTGGGCTTCCCAGGCATTGTGGCTATAGACGGCCACAAGAACTGGGCCTTCAGAGGCATGATGACGGAGAAACCAAACTCTCACTTACCTGGATGAGGAACATAGCTATGTGGTGAAATTCTCCACGGCCCCCTTGCTTAACAGGAACTGTCATGAAGAATTTGTTGCCATCTCTAGAAAACACAGGCTCCTCGTTCTAAAATATAAAAGAGCATACAACAATCTCAAAATGGCATGTGCAATCTCTGTTACCAACTTAATTCTTGTACTGATTGTACTTATAATTGGTTTAAAATTAGGTAGGAAAATTGTTAAATTATTTTAAAAATAAATATGATATTTAGTACTTTTTAAAGTGAAATTAACGATACATTGTGTATGTGTTTGAGTGATGGGAAAGATGGGGAAATTTCATCCATAGTAGATAGGAATGGTTTACTATTAGACAAACACACTGTTTAAATTGGCTCAAACGAGAACTTTCAGATCTTCATACAAAATTATGTTTACCAATACATCCTTTGAAGATAAGGAAATTGCAAACATTGGTACCAATTCATCAAAATAACTTTTAGAAAGACTTTATAACATTCTATAACATACATGTAGCATATTTTTTGAAGTCTTTTATTCAGCAACTCTGGTTATGTGAGGATTCATTTCTGATGATGTAAACATATTTCACTAAATATGCAAAGGCCAGCAGGCCACAAAATTGAAGTGATTCTATAAAAATTATTAAATTCAAATTTCCCATACCCGTTGCTCATCTTTCCCACAAACACAAATGCTCACAACTGTGAATCCCCATTTGATGATTTTTAATTCAACTCTAGTGAGTAACACATTAAACGAATAGAACTATTTTTAAGAATTAAATGATGAAATCCATACATATACAGAAGATGCCAAAAAATTATACACATTTTAAGAATGGAAAAAAACCTGTGTTAAAATCACGATACTCACTATCTACTAACAACATCTGTTATCCTGTATATTGTATCTTATCTCTTTTAATTGCAGAAGTCAAGTGTGACTTGAATATTGAAATTTAATACAGTTTATTTCTTTCTTAAAATTTGTAAACATTCTTTTACATCCTCTGTACATTGCTTTCTCTTGCTATAAGAGAAACATTTTAAGAAAATGGATTCATCTGACAAAACATTGAGTCCTTTCTTGTTGCATTAATGATAGTGACTGTGTACATGACATACAGACTTAGGCTTGTCTTAACCATGGCTTTGAAGCCCTTTCAGATGGCCTGGCCCTCTACTCACTTTCTGATCTCACCTTCCATTCTCACTGGGCTTCCTCACTGGCTCCTGCACGATCCTACTCTAGAGTCTTCACATATTTTATTTCCTTCATCTACCGCTTCCCCTTTTCTTTTTCAGGGCCCTGATCCAATGCCACCTTATCAGTAAGGGGCTCTCAGATTATCCTGGGTAAAGTGTGACCAGGGAAGCCAGCCCATCCAACTCTACCTGACAACCATCATACCCTTTTGTCTTCTTTCTGGTTTTCCACAGCATCTAATACAAATAACTAACGTACACTGCCTGTGTGTTTGCATTTGCATGGGGGTACTTGTGTATGAACGCATATATATGTGCACATATGTGTATGTATGTGTAGTCCTCTGTAACACAAGCACCATGGGACAGGAACCTTGTATACTTGATTACTACATTTCCAGCACCATGGACAGAGACTACCATGTAAATTGAGTTCCATAGAAATTTACTGAATGAATAGGTCAATTAATAACAACTTTAATACACTGGATGGTCTGATTTTAGCTTCATCAGTAAGTATATCCTTTACTAGAAATTTATATTTTCCTTGTCTACCTCAAGGACACTCATGAAAAGAATAGGTAATATATGCAAAAAATTTAAAACTATGAAGTAATATACCATTCAAGTTTGGAAAGATTGCATAACTGAGTATAGAATAGATACTGACTAACGACTAAGTGAATCACATCTTTCAACTATAATAGAATCAATAATTCTATTTGTTCCATCCCTACCCCTCTGGGATATTTCTTGGGGTTTCTTTCATCTGAAACAAACTTGTCTGTCTTCTTCTGAGTTAAAACTTTCTTAAGTTTTGCTTAATCTCATGAAATATAAACTGTTTTTAAATTTACTTAGTAAATGTTCTCCAGTTAGGGAATCTCTCCTCAGATGTTCTAAAAAGTACCCTGTATTCACCACTGTTACAGCTTTTAATGCACTCTCTTTTATTGGTCTATTAACTTGTTGGCTTCCTTTGCTAGGCAATTAATAATGAAACTAAACTTTCAATTATATCTATGTAGCTTCATTGAATAAGATTAGGTAGGGTCCAACTCATGATTGCTGAGTGGATGAATGTATGTATATAATGGAATAAGATCAGCTGTACAGGAATATTCACTTTATCCACCACATTTACTCCAGCACATTGGTTCCTCCCTTACTCACAATTCTCTCCTTGTGCTCTGCTCAAAGATAAATAGCTTTTTTACGATATGGGGATATCTAGAGCCTTCTGTGCTCTCAATTCTGATGCCTTACAAGTGTCTTTGAAAAGAAACAGATTTGGAGTTACAATCTCAAATGCTTTACTGAACAAAACACTTTCCCCAGGCGCCATTACCTGGCTATAAACATTTAGCTCCAGTCAGGAGGAGCCCATCTTACTGTCCACTGCATGACTTTAAGCAAGTCCGTGTTTAGACACATGTAGCCCTGAGCTGAGGATTCTGAACTGTTTCCCTTGACCAAACATACATACAGATACTGATCATCCCAGGTATGGGTCCCTTACAGGCTAAGCCAGAGATGCCCACTTCTCTTTGGCCTTCCTACTGTACAGAAAGACAACAAACATATGATAACTCTATTAAATGTCTAATTATGTTAACAAATTTTCTTCCCCTCCTTTAAATTTCATCAAATTCTAAGTATTTTATTAAATTCCCTTAGAGCTTTTGGAGAAAAAATCATCTGTGATAAAACCAACTGCATTTTCTTACTTATTAGTAAGATAATTGGATGCTTTGGTTAAAAAAAAAAATCTACCAAACAGTTATAATTTTGAGATGTAAAATTCAGATAGCATAATCTCAAAAGAGCATATAATTATGTTAATATGTGTTAAACTATTATGAATGTCACTGTCAATAAAAGTGGCAGCAAAAGAGGTTTGATAAATGACAACTTGGAATACGTCACTATCCATTGTGTCACTGGTTTTCATTGTTTTTATTTTGAATATCTGCCTTAATTTTTTGAGAGTAAAATCCAGGTATTTTTTCCAATTTTATTTTACACATTGACTAAGACAGTATTGTGTATAGTATTATATACCCATGTACACAAATGTATTTACAAACAGATCTCTCCCATCCCTGCCTCTGCTACAGGCAAGCAAAGGTTTAACCTAATTACGATTATTTCTTTACTTTATTTCTTTCTCCATTCAGTAAGTATTTATGGTGCTTTTATTATATATTCAATTCCATATTAGGCATTTGGTTTACAAAACAGAGAGAAAATAAACATCTTCCTTGCCTTTGTATCTTAGTAATAAAGCACAGAAATACTTGTGTAAGTACCAGAGATTGCAAGTGACTTTACATTAACTTTTGTTCAGAAATGTTTGTGGAATGGCAGAGTTTTGCTTCTTCTCCTCAGAAGGTGACTTCTCAGGTAGGTGATTTAAGCCAAGGTTTGAAAAATGAATAGGCTTAAAATAAAAAGGTTTGAGAGGATTATGTCCAGAGGGAGGGGACATGGCCCTCTGTGCACACGAGGGCCAATGTGGCTAGAATGAAGCAAATGAGTGTAGGATGATATGACTAAGAACTGGAAAAGCTTGACATTTTATCCCTTATGGACCATTTGTGAATGTTGATCTTTGTCCGAAGGAGAGAAAGAAGAGAAACAAATGTTTGAGTTGTGGGAGTGAGAATATGGGGGGAATATTGGCAGTGACAATCCAATGTATCATAAGGGTCACTCAGCTGGCCTGAAGCAAAACCAATAGGCAGGCACCTCTGGGGCTGAGAGTTCACCAGTTTCAGGAGGAACTGCTGTAACTACAGTTTGAACCTGGACAATCTTTGGGAGTTGGAGAAAAGTGAATTGACTTGAGAGATCTATGAGTGTAAAATCAAACAAAAGTCTGCATATAGTAATTACATGTGTAGATTTCCAAAAGGTTTAAAGGTGACTAGTAGGTTAATGGTATTAATTACTGTAGAAATAAGAATGACTAGCAGAGGATTGAGTTTGGTTTAGACCTGGAGAGTGTGCAGCCAGGTTTGTAGATTTAGGAGTAGATATCAAGCATAATTTTGAATGTTATGGAACATTCAGAAGTGTCTGGGGCTATGAATTTGGTGGTGTCAATGTATGGGTGGCAACTGAAACCATAGATGTTTCTGAGGACTGATAAACAATAAAATGAGTCAAAACCAACCAAACGTCTTTGACATTCAAACTAGCTTTATAAGCTAGACATATCTAAACAAAAAAAAATTATTCATCTAACAATCTCCACATGGCCAATATATGTGGAGAGCTGGTCAATTTTCGTGATAATTTGAACAATGCTGATGTTTTGGTAGGTCCTAACTTTATTTCCTTTATCTATAAAAGTTCCCTTTTATAAAGATCCTGAAAGTAGATCTTCGTAGTTATTCTGCAATTTGCGTAGCATTAAAAAAAGTATCTAATCTTTCACAAACGATGTCAAAGAAAGCCCAAGTCATAAAAGTTTTCATAGAAAAGAATCACTTTGTCAAACCTACTGAAACATTAAAGTCACATTGTATCACTGAAATAGCTTTTTAAAGAAAAGTTAATCACATAATAAATGGGTGAACAGAATAGTCACATGAACTAAAATGTGACAGAGACCATTAATACTATACCTGTTTAGAGAGCCACGTATCAGATGTCATTTCATATTTCTGAAATAAAACAATTAACTCTAGTAAGCAACTAAAGACCAATATGAACATCTATCAATTTCACTTATTTTATGCTGTTATCTTTAGGCATTTTTTCCTTCTTTTTAACTGGTGAGATACCAGGAGAGGTCCCATTGTCCCCATTGATTTAACCTGAATGTGTAAGTAGAGAATTGGGATTAAGTGGTAATTTAATTATAAAGTCTTTTCTTTGGTGAGCACTTCCAGAATTCCCAGCAGCATGTCACCAGGAATAGAACATCACTTTCCAGCTCTGTTTGATTACCTCATTCAAACTGTTTTGAACCACTAGATACTGTCTCTTTTCACCTCCAGGCATCATAGGGAAAAAAAAATATTGAGTCCTTCAAAGGAACTGGGCAAACAGCCAGGATTAAAATTAAAAAATGGACATTCTTTCCATATTCAATCTACTCTTAATAATAGCTACTTTTTTTTTCTTATTAGTAAAAAGTACTTCAGTCTTAGGGGATAAAAAATTAAATATTTAAAATGTCAAAATCTTATGTTCTTTTGAAGGTCTTGCCAAGGATCAGAACCAAAATTATACTGCAAAAAGCAAAATTGGACTAATTTATCCTCAAATAACATGTGTGTAGATAAAATGGTGTTAATAATACTGATGCGTGCATTTTTCAGAAAACTCAGAGTTTTCTGGAAAAAATGATTGTACAGTAAAAGTATTCAAATTGAGAAAACACTATATTAGGAATTTTCTCATAAGCACTACTCATTTTAAATTGTTAACATTAAGATTTTATTTACAGTTTTTTAATGTTACTTGCCCTTCCCAAATTCATATCATTACTACATTGGAATTGACCACTTGCTCTTTTCAGGGCATTTTGTTCGAATACATATTTGCCACATGTTCGAATACATATTTGCCACATGCAAACATCAGGAAAATATCTAATTAAATCATTCCTTGATTCTTTATTTGTACCTTGGCAATAACCATTCTTGGTATCTGTGAAACACAGACATAAAACAGATACCAATGCCACCAGTTGTTAGTACAACCTGGTGTTGTTAGAATCCATGAAATCCCCAAACTTCATCTACTATTATTTGTCTTATTCTTTCAATTAGCAGAAAGAAAAATGTTTTAAACTGCATGCATGGAATAGAAATATAACTTCAATGAGGTGTCACATCAAGAATATGATAGGATTGTTGTACCTATTTCATATTGAAACATTTTAATTTATCTTTGTGGTAACCTATATATAATGAAAAGTCTTTCGATTATCCTTATATAGAGAAGGTAACAGGCTAGGCTTTCTCACATTAACTAGAATACACAGGCCACATTTTTTGTTGTTGCTGTTGTTGCAGTTTTTGACCAGGGCCAGGTTTGAACCTACCACTTCCAGCATATGGGGCTGGCGCCCTAATCCTTGAGCCCTGGTGCCGCCCCACAGGCCAATTTTTAAATGACTTAGTAACCAGCTGAATAAGCAACCATCCAGAAAATTTTGGCAAATAAATGGAGAAATTTTAGTCAGCATGTCATCTCCTCAGATTAAAGAGGAATTCTGAGATACATTTTCTTCTAATACAAACTTAACGTGAAAAGCATCAGCCCAACCCAGTAAGTAAAGGGTTGATTCAACTACCTCTGTTCCAAGTTTATACTCATCATTTCATTAAGAGATAGGTCTGCACCTTTATTTCTATTTTACTGACCATTTAAAAAGGGTTTCTAAAAATGTTCACCTATAGTGAAATGCACAGATCATAAGTATATAAAATGATGAGTTTTAACGCATTTATGCCAGCAAGATATCTATAGAACCTTCCTATCTCCTCACAGGATTCCATCATGCCCCTTTCCAGAGGTTCCAAAAAGGCAACCTCTCTTGGGATCTCTAATCTGTTACCAAAGACATATAGTCAACTTTTAAAATATCAAACATAGTATGTTTGGTTCTTGAAATTTTATTTTTCTGTTTTTAAAATTTGCATTTACTAAAATTTCTCACTTGTTTCTTAGGACTATTCTTTTCTTGTATTATTGAATGTATTTCTAATAGATTTTGTATTGTATAAGTCTATTTATATTAAATTTAGAAAAATGAAAAATTAATATATTGTAACAGAAATTAAGCTTGTCCTTTGAGAGTTGAGATTGATTAGAAAGCAGCATAAAGAAACTTCTTGGGACAATAGGAATATTTCATATGTTGATGAGGTGTGGACTGTGGGATACACGTGTTTTTAAAACTCCTTTAACTGCCCAGTTAGGATTTCTTCACTTCGTTGGACATAACTTACACCTTTAAAACATTTTATTGCTACATAAGAATTGTACACATTTACTGGGTACATGTGATATTTTCACATATGTATAGAGTGTGTAAAAATCAAATCGTGATATGTTGGCTACCCATCACCTCAAACATTCATCATTTCTAATAGTTTTTAAAAATTGTCTGTATACTAATTCTAATATTGCTATCCTTGGAGGTCTGTTTCTACTGAATATTTCTGGGGGAGAGATCAGTAGGTTATATTTTTTACTTCTCTGTATACATAGTATATTTTGATTACATGATCAATTCTGCAAATGCTGCCTTATTGAGAGTCTTTTTTTAATTTTTATTTTCTTTTCAGAAAGGCAAACTTTATTGTGATAGGCAGTTAATTTACATGCAGATAAATTTGATCCCTTCAAAGTGAAATTTAAACACTTCTAAGAGGGGGTCCAGAATAGACCTACTTCTAGGGTACATTCCTTTTGGGCTCTGAGTTCAAGGCTGAGGGTGAAGTGACGTTTCTCCACCATTACTGAGCAGAAATCCAATGTCTGTCAACCCTGTGCAACCTGTAGACTCTTCATTTGCTTCAAAACTCTCTGGCAGTTGTTTTCTCCCAGGTAATGTGGAGGCACGTTGTTTGTGCGCACACCGAGCATTGAGGCACAGACTCAAGGTCCTCTCCATAGATTGCTCCAGTCCCTTTCTATAGCTCCAACTTCGGTGGTATCTTTCCTATAAATTTCAATCACTACAACAGCCTCACCCTCTAATCTTCTGTATTTACTCAAACCACCTACATCACTGTGCTTTTCTTAGGTAAATTTGCTTGCCCTGTGGTCTCAAAGTATTGCAAATAGAAAGTCATAGTGGGGTTGATCTTATGCATATACTTTATGTAGCATTTATGGTCTTGATCCAATTGTCCAACATCTGAAAACAATTGTCTTTTATATTTTATACAGTTTCATAGTTGTTTAAAGCAAAATGACTGGTCTGGTGACTTTTACTCCATCTTCTCTAGGCCACAAGTTTGAAAACTCTGTTGTCAAATAATCAGAGAATCTTTTGCCAAAGTACTATGTGTATAATACTATAACAATTTAAACCAATTACACTGTTTCCTCCAGCAAGAACCTTGAAAATGGTACATTGTATTTACCACCAAGTTTATAAAAACTGGTTTTAGAAATTAAAATATAACCTGATTTCAAATTAGAGTAATTCAAGAACCAAATATTTTTTACTATTTTTACTTCATTTTAGGATAAAGTTAATCTAAACTACAGAAAAATGGAATATGTTTAAAGATGATATGCAAGAAACTTCATCTATTCTCATGTTAATCAAAGACAAAACACGGACAGAAATCCCATACTGAAGAATGATATGGCTTGAACTCACCTTTATGCTGAATACGAATTCATTTGTTTTTTAAAGCTAAGTTTGCTCTCTTCTTCATATCATAAATGCTGCTCACTTCAAAGTTTAGAAACTTTATGGATTAAAGAATATACTCTTAATAAGGTGACTCTTTTCTTTTCCTACTGTCTTTGTAAGCTGAAGGTTTTGTGCAAAGGATTTCCTGATTTCCCTTGTTAGTGAAGATAAACCACTTCATTTTAAGTGTAAAAGAAAAGTAAATGATACTCACTCTACTGCAAGCTCCAGTAGTGGTCTCACAGACTGTGAGAATGGAGATGTTCTGAGGTCGGTTCAACCACCTCACCACCGTCTTCGTGTTGCTTACCCATTTAACCATAGTGATGTAGTATTCTCTACAAACAGAGTAGAAATGTATGTTTAGAGCAAAAGAATCTGCACAGTACCAATAAAATACATTTATTTTATATTGTATTTATATACATTGTATGTATTTATATACATTGTATGTATTTATATACATACGTGTATAATAGAACCACTATAAAAATGATACATCATAATAATTTTTATATATGTGTGTATACATGAACTCATCCTCTCTTTTAAATATTAAGTATATTGATAAAAATATTTGTGTATGCATACATTTACATGAACATATACATTTATATACAAATTTACAGAAAATTTGAAAATAAATTTGAGTGAATTATATCCCAAGAAGTAACCAGATGGTAGACACTTATAAAAATATTAATTGATTAGTACTAATATATGTTTAAAACCTGTATTCATTTTTTTTTTTTTGAGACAGAGTCTCACTATGTTACCCTTGTGCTGTGTCGTCACAGCTCACAGCAACCTCCAACTCTTGGGCTTAAGCGATTCTCTTGCCTGAGCCTCCCAAGTACCTAGGACTACAGGCACCCACCACAATGCCCGGCTATATTTTTGTTGTAGTTGTCATTATTGTTTAGTAGGCCTGGACCAAATTCGAACTCTCCAGCTCTGATATATGTGGCTGGTGCCCTAACCACTTAGCTGTGAGTGCTGAGCCCTGCATTTAGTTTTAAAGATATAGTATTTTTATTTCTTTAAAAGCACAATCAATGTCCAAGCAAAAGGCACCTGTTTCTTGGCTTAATAATTATTCCTTATGCACAAGCTCCATGTTATTTTACTTTATACATAGAGGCGTTGGTTACAAAGATATAAATGACATTTTTGGTTCTTTGTTAGCTGTGGACCAGCAGCCAGTTCCAACATTTATTTATGCTTTTTAAACAATATTGTTAGTTATCTTATTTATTTGAAATAGTTTAAAACAAAGAGTTAAACTGAAAAAGGTAAGAGGCTATTAAATTTGTGATATGGTAAGGATGCTAATTAGTGGCGTAGGAAAAAGTTTATATATCTTCCTTTATGACACCTTATAGGTTCCAAATTTATGTAATATACCACAAAACTTCCAACTCTCACTCTACAAAATCCACTCATGGTCATCTATTTATGATAAAAAGAAAAAAAAATTCTACAAACTCACCCAATTTCAGAATAGATGAGTTTCTAGAAATAGCTTGAAAAGTGCCATCCATGACTATTGTATTAAAACTAATCAATTCAGTTTTCATGTTAATTAGAAAAAAATCACTTACAAAAGACAAATCTTATGATACAAATCACTACATCTGAGTTAGACACTCAGCCACACGCATCTCTACATTGCTAACCAGTGGTGAGCAGTTACCGCTTCCCACAGAAGCCTCTCGGCCCATCACGTGAACGAGTCAGTGGACGGGCAGGCATGACTTGCTGCCCAGTGACGCCTGCCATCATTTCTTCAACAATCTTTTTAAGACATCTGGCAGCTTTCACAACCAGCTGAGCCTTGCTTGAAAATTGCCTATAAACTCAGTGGAATCATAACATAAATTGCCCCAAATGGAGTTAACAAGCAACTTTGACACAAAGTTGCAGTTGGTTTGGGCATAATCTTTGGCTACATCAATGGGCCTTGTGATCCAGCAAAGAACACTGTTGAGTTCATTTTCACTGTATTTTGTTTAAGCTGACATACTTTGTGTACATCACCATATTTAGCAGTGTGAACATTAAAATGGAGAAAATACGGTGATTAACTGTTAATACATTTACCCCAGCAATTTAGCTTGCAGAAAAAGAATAGCAGTACTATAAATAATCAGGAAAAGAAGTACTGAATTCTGATAAAACATATGTATGAATAATTAGTGTAAACATTGTTCAAAATTGAAGTGAAAATTAATTTGTATATTATAAACAACTAACCAAAGATTGCAAAATTAAGGAAGAAAAGTCTAGATAAAATTGGTACATAGTTGACGTTCAAACTCAGTCAGAAATTTGTCTCAATTAGTTAACATTTTTTTTACAAAATAATATAACTAACATGAATAATTTCAAAAATAAATAACAATAAAACAAAATTTAAAGATTGAATGCTTTCTCTTTTAAACTAGTCCCTAAGTGAAGTGTTATAAGAACATTTCAATGTTCTTCAGACACTGACAAATTATATTTATTGCCTATGATGGCAAGTCTTGACTTTTAAAAAAGACTTAATTCTTAAAAAAAGAATTGATAGCCAAACAATATAAATATGAATAGCTTATTTTTAAAGGGAACACTATCTTAGATGTATAATTGTTAAGTTAAACATCACTAATGTATAGCCATATGCTTATATTTCTCTCCTTTTTTTAAATTTTGTTTTAAATTGGCTTTCAATTTTCTTAGTTTGAAGTTTTTTTCTTAATTTTCTTTTTTTCTTTTATTTATTTATTTATTTATTTATTTAGACAGTCTCACTTTGTGGCCCTCAGTAGAGTGCTGCGGCATCATAGCTCACAGCAACCTCCAACTCTTTGGCTGAAGCAATTCTCTTGCCTCAGCCTCCCAAGTAGCTGGGATTACAGGCTTCTGTCACAAAGCCCGTTTTTTTTTTTTTTTTCTTTTTATTTATTTATTTATTGTGGTGACGGGGTCTCACTCTGGCTCTGGCTGGTCTCAAACCTCTTAAGGGCAATCCACCTGCGTCAGCCTCCCAGAGGGCTAGGATTATAGGCGTGAGACACCACACCCAGCCTATATTTCTTTGTAATTAAATAATGTGATTATTTTGTGTGTTTTTAAATAAAGTACATTATGATCACAAGTGAAACATAATCTGATATGAGATACCATATTATACATCTTATTTATACACAAGGGTGATCTTAGAAATAACTGCAATATAAGAAGAGAGAATTCTTCCCCAAATTGAATTATTTTTGTGTTCTTACAAGGAATAATTTCAAAGCATTTAAATTTTTATATTAAAGTATTTAAAATAAACAAAATGGAAGCTAAGGTAGAGCTTAATACATAAGCAGAGGGGAAAGATACATCTAATAACTAACTTGCTTCCTGCATTTTTTCTTTCCCTGCTGTAAGATCCTGGGACTACATCTCCTTGTGTTTCACACTGACTTACTCTGCTTGCTCATATGTATCCGGGCTTTCTCTGAACGAGGGAGTAGAGAAGTGCCCTTACCTGGAAATGTCCCACTCCTTGGCCTGCCTGCTGCAGATGTGGCTGTGCTCCTGGAACTCCATCTCATGAACACATTAGACCTGGTGTCCCACCACCAATGGCCAGCAGAAGTGTCCCTTTTTTTTTACAACTGGTTTTCCTGCTTGTTCCTAGTCTCCATGGCTCTGGATTTCCCAGGAAGTCCTTGAGGATCTGGTCCTCTTGAGCCACAGAGACAGAGACAAGCTGGTTAGAGAGATTGCACTCAAGTCAACAGAGACTTTCTATCAGCTGGATGGTCTGGCACAGAAGATCTAACTGTCCACAAGGGCATGGAGACCCCAGCACCACCTGCAGACAGGTATGTTAGCTGTCACATCCACATTATAACTGGCTTTCTGACCAAGCATAGTCTGCGTGCACATACAGATACACTGAGGTCATTTTCTTCTGGAGAATTTAGGATTTCTGCCCTTAAGTGTATTATGATGGTATTCATGACAAACTCACAGCCGGTTTCTCCCAAAGACCTCTGTTAATAACTATGCATTACTTGGAAGAAGGGTCATTCAGGACACTTTCATGAACACAGAGGAGTTTATTGATTTGATTTTCTCAGAACACACAGATATTCATTGGAAGCATAAGAAATGTAGGCTAGACATGGTTAGATGAAAAAGGAGGAGAAAGCATGACAGTGTCAAGCCCAGATGACAAGGCAATATGGTAGTGCTACATCAACTATGTAGGTTGGGAACAATGGGTCACAAAAGACTGGGAACTGGAGAAAGATTATCAATAAGTTAACCAATGTGAGGCAAGTCATTACTTTTACTCTTTAGACTGTGGAGTCTGAATACAAACGGCAATGCATCACTTCCTCCCAAATACTGTGAAACTTAACAAATGTGTACAAAAATCTGCATGATTCATTATCATAAAAAATTATTTCACTAGAACTTAACTGTATATTTTAAAATTCACATTTAAATTTGCTAATAAGTCTAATAAATTAAATTTGCTAATAAATCTCAATGCTTGCAATACTTTAAATTCCTAGTGCAATGCTTTAAGCTCATAGTGCAACAATTTGCAAAACATTTTTTTCTCAAGATAAGATGATTCATCTAACTTCCACTGGTTACACTGGGGACATTCATGAAGGGATATTGCTATGTATCTTAGTTCCTACCAATGCTACATTCTTTTCAAAACCAATATAGACCATAATCCAAATAAAGATAAGCTGAGTGATGATGAATGTGAACTAATTACTATTGAAGAAAAGTTATGTTCATATTCTACATTTGTTTGATGACATGTCTTTAGTTGAATCAAACATAAATAAATATTTAAAACAAATGAAGAAGGTGTAAGGGTAAAAATTAGGAAGATAAATCATGCCCTGTTCCAGGTTATTTTACCCTTTATTTTCTGTTTTAGGGTATATAAATGAATGTAAATTTATTTATTTTACAGTCTTTGACTAGAGTGTAAGTATTAGGTTGAAGGGAAAATCTACTAAATGATGATATTAGTTTGGGGGTCTATTTCTTTTATAATTATAAATAGCAGTTATTATAAATAAATAAACCAATCATCCAAGTAAATGATCAAACAGATCAAACTAATGACCTAAGTTTTTCAATACCAACACAGTTTGTTCCTTGGGGGAGATGATGGGAGTTGGGAATATAGTTTGTAAGGTGGCTCAAAGTCATAAAAGAACATCATTTTATATTTATCTTATTAATCTTCCTCTGTATATAGGCCTTTCCATACACAATCAATTATTATTATTGCCATTATGGTGGTTTTACTAGAGAGTAGAAAGTCAGAGATGATCATATTTAAGTTTCAGATGTGGTGGAAAAAAGCACTAACAAGAAAAGAAATCATTTGTAATTGTGCTGGGAAACAGTATGTGGTTCGTTTATTTATTGTCATTTGCTTAGATATCATACCAAAAGAAGTAAATATGTAAATTATCATAAAATAAAATTAATTATTTAAATATTCTGCTATCAAGAATAGAGACAATATCTCAAATTATATAGGAGGTGAACAAAACACGAACTCCCAAAGGAAAAAAGGGACTCTGATGAACTTGATAGGACATGAGGAATAAATCAAATTTTTATGTTTATATTTGTACAAATAGGTAACACAATCAAAGTCAGGAATCATTAGCTCTTAAAGAAAGAAATATACTTATTGTAAAACTGATCTCCATTGCAAAGATTTAAAAAAAATAGAGAAAACATTAGAAATTTGTATGTCAATACTAGGGGATTTAAGTCTTAGGAGACTAACTCTCATAGTTGAGTTCCCTTTCCTGTGGATTCAGAGCAGTTAACAAATCAGAGAAAATGCTACCAATTAAGGACCAGTTAACATGTCAATAGCTTCCATAATATCTTCATTTGAGACTAAATCATTCATGGCTGGTAGACCAATCTCAGAAATAGAAATTTCTCTCTGATTGGGACAATCAGCCTGCCTTATATTTATCAATTCAGACTGGTCTTTAAGGTCTTTGACCCAAGATGGAGGAAGTGCCCTGTAACTTGATGGAATCAGCCTTACCTCCATTTCTACCTTTGCTAACAACTAGTCCTGGGATTCTGCCATAACCACTTGTACTTTCTGGGCTCCATCATTCCATCAGTAAAATAAACAGTTTATATGAGGTAGTCAGTGAGGGCTTTCCGGTATAAGCATTTCATAAATTTTTATTACCTTTCCAAACAGAAAAAAAAAATGCCACACACATCAGTCTGCACTATCCGTGAGAATTCCCAACCGGGATGAATTTTTTTCTAAATATTCCAAAGAAACATTTGAGTGAAATTTCTATTGAATTTCATCACCCTACATTGATTATAGATATCATCAAACCAAATATTGAGCTTAGCCCCATATTATTCAATATAACGTGAAGCCACTTTTTTTTTTTTTTGCAGTTTTTGGCCAGGGCTGGACTTGAACCCACCCTATCTCATCTCCTGGACTGTGGTAAATTCCCAAAGGGTTGCAGTATTTAAAAGAATCACCTTCAAATTTTGAGACTGCTCTGGATTGCAGAAATACACATAATTACTTGATTATTTTTTTACTATTGAAGATTTTGCTAATATTTAAATTATGCTTTTGACATAAAATGAATTTCTTTTTTCCCTGTTCCAACTTCTTAAATATGAAGTCTTCATCTGTTAGATATTATGAAAAAGAATCTCATTTAATTTCTCTGCTTGGAGAAGAATGCTAGAGAATCCTTGGTAAGACGTGGTGACACAATTGGAAAAACTATCAAATTCCAGGGAGATCATTAAAGAACATCTTTTTTAAAAAAAAATGGATCAACTATTTTTCGAAGTCAATGCAATGGAAAATTATCTTTTGTCCCGTGTCTCTGTCTCATTCCCAGCAAAAGACCTAATTCTCAGCATCGGTATTGTTAGTCATTTTGTGGTGGTGATAATCACCTTCAAAGGAAATACTTCTTGGAAACAGCCAGCCAGTAAGAATGACTTCATGCCTCACTAATGGAAGCAAACTCAGCTTTATTTTCAAGCAGATTTGTTGAGCTGATCACATTTCACTAAATTACCACAAAATGATAATTGGAATGAAAATATCTATTCCTCCATAAAAGTGAAATTGAAATTGCATACCTTGATTTAAAGCTGTCAGGTGGCATAAGTTCCAAAGTATGAGTTGGTCCATACAGGTTTACAACATACAATTTTATTGTTGGGTTCACTTGACCTGCCTTTGAGAAAAAGAAAGTTGTAAAGTAAGCTACATAGTAAGTATTAGCATATACTGAGCAAAAAAGAAAAGGAATTTTGATTCATTTACTTTATTGTGTTGGGGGGGGGAAGTGTTTAATTTCTCTGAAGTTGAAACAGTTTTAAATTCAACAACTTGATTGCTTTCAATTGTTTTTGTAGATTGCTGCTTCTCAAGCACTTTCCCCAGACAATTAAAGGTGATAGGAAATTGTGATGACTTCATTCATTAGGCAGCTCTGTTCTTTCCCCAGAATGGCACCAGAGGGCCGGCTGCACACAACAACTAGTAGATTGAGCAACTACTTGCATTATAAGACATGAAATGCAGTGGCAAGGAGATTTGGCCAATTAAAAAAAAGAAGGAGAAAAGAAGAAAGGAAGGAAGGGAGGAAAAGAGAGAAGAAAAAAGAGAGGGAGGAAGAAAACCTGCCTGATGCAGGAATTAAGAGCTTAAAATTCCACAGAACCTAATGTATTCCATCTCATTAATCTCTCTGGCTTAAAAAAATAGACTAATTACTAATGAGGTGATTCATTTGCATAGTTGACCCTTCAGAGGTGAGTCATGGGTAGATTTCCCTCTTCAAGTACTCAGTGGTAAGAATATGCAATTTGAGTTCAGTGAATCAAAGTTTTAGTAAGTAAATAACAACTAGCATGTATAGCAGTTGGTATGCTTCTGCCATATAATATATGCTAAAGGCATTACATGAATTAATTCATTAAATACCATTACTACAGTTATAATTATACCCAATGAAAATGGAAAAGCTATGTGAACCATTTAAGGAGAAATATCTACTAACCAAAGGAACTAGTGTGCGAACCCAGGATGCTCTCAACCACAACGCTGGAGTGTGCTTTCAGTTTATCCCTAGGAAATGACTTTTAGTTTTCCCAAATGCTCTGTGAACAGTTAAGGGGTAGGAACGGCTGCTTTCATCAACATATCTCAAGCAGTCTGAGTGAATGTTCACATGAATAAATGATGTACTGACTTAGCTGATTATTTGTGGATCAATATGCTTCTAAATAATGCACCATTATCTTTACAATATGGCTGATGTTGAAAGAGAAATCTATATGAGATACACAAAGAAGAACATTCAAAGTGAGTTAAATGAAAAGACCTGACAAAATTCTAAAGAGAATGACAAAACTGTCTTAAAGATGACAAAGATTCCTGTTCAGACAAGTGGAATTGGTAAAACCCATCAAGACTAGAAGCATCATAGCACATTCCAATAATCATTAAGAGCTCCCCAAGAACTCTGTTAGGTCATAAAGAGACCAGCACACCTGCGGGAACAGGTCATACCCATGGCTCAGAAGCTTTGAGCCAAAGAAAAAGGCCTGGGAAAGCTTTGACTACAGAATGAGGTGGCTATTCAAGAGAGCTTATGGAAATGTTTATACAGTAAAGGTTTTCCTGAAGATAAGGGATGTGCTTGCTTCACTCCCAATGCTCAGCTCTAAGAATCTGTAAATGTTTTTCTTGCACCCCACCCTCTAGAGCCCAAGCACACTTGTTAGGCAGTTAGCTTTCTTTCTGTGGCTCTTAGGAGCTTCCATTCACATCATTCTTGTTTTAATTTTGTTGTCATGTTCCTCCTAGAAAATACTGGCTTTATCCATTTAATATTTAGTCTGACCATTTTCCTTGCTAGATCAGGTATGTGAAAATTGGGAGCTGGATGTAGTATTAGCAGCACAATGCAAAGTGTTGTTCTCAGAGCAGGAGCTTTAATTAGCATTGCCTGGGACCTTAGAAATGCAAATTCATGAGCCCTACCTCAGACCTATAGTCAGACTCAGGATCATAATCTCTGAGTGAGGGTCTACAAAACTGTGTCTTAACAAGATTCCTGACAATCAGTGTGCAAATTTCCATAAAACGTCGAGCTGCTATCTGTATATCCATACATCCATCTGCCTATCCATACATCTAAGTAGGATAGTTCAGTGGTTGTCAAAAGTTGGGCTGCATCTGAATTAGTACCCAGAGTTCTCTTGAAGCCACTTATTGTTGAATGACGCCCCCCTGCGCCCTGAGGCTAATATCCCTGGTGCTTCTAAGAGGACCACATTTGGGGAACTGGTTTAGCTTTCTCTGTAAGTCAGAGAAATCAGACATCAAATTTTGACTTTGTTATTTACTTGTTATGGACTATGGAAAGATGCTAAAAATCCTCAAGTATTCATTTATTTGATTGTCAAAAATGAGACCAATATCTCTCAGAGAGATTTTGAGTCAAAGAAGGATTCCTGTCTGTGAGGATAAAGATATCTCATAGTTTTGCAATGTGGACTAACAAAAAAGATTTATAGAATGTTTTGCAATGGTAAATGGTAGTGAATTAAAAAATCGTAATTATTGTTAGGACACTAAATCTTTTTTTGTAGTTAGTGACAGCTGTGCTTATACTTTTTATTATTCAATACATTGATTAAAACAAAAGAATTAAATTTGACCATTCTGAACTCTTACTAATGATGCACAGTTATACGGCATATTTTGTTAAAGATGTATTAGTTGCTATCATATCTTTTAAGGCGGTTTTCTTTACATCTGTAGCACTATAAGCTTATACACAACTGGGTTCACTAACACCCCAATTAGCTTCTACACGAACACAAAGCAATGGCTGTAAACTCATATGGCCGATTTTCAGACTAAAAGCAAACAACCAAATGTCGGGCTGTCTCCCTAATTCAACTGTCCAGCATTCTGTAATCTTAGTTATATTTTTATCTTTCCATGGAGTTTTGAAATTAAGCACATATCAATAGTTGAACTGTACTTTTTAACATTTGAATCATTTCAAGTGTTTGCCAATTAGAAACATGTGTATATTTGCTTTTCATGGTTCCATTTGCAGCAAAGACTGCAAATCTGCAGAATTCCTTTCTCTATGATTCTGAAACACAAGCCTCAATAATAATTAACCTTATTTTACTGGCAACTAAATTGTCATTAGATGAGATAATGTTTCAATTAAAAAGATTAACCTGAGGTTACTGAAATAGAACTGTGCGTCTCTTTTGTGCTGAATTGCTAATGATGGGGTGTTTTATGAGTTCCGAATCATGCTGAATTAAGGAAAATACAAATATATTTGTTTACTATAAGTATTTCATTAGTAAATCTGACGATGTTGGGAATTTACCACACTCATTTTAAGCTAGTTGAATTTAAAGCTCAATTGAATATGAACTCTGTGTTTTACTTCAATGTCTAAAGTAGCACTTTTTGAAAGTTTATTGCAAAAGTAAAAGCAAATTAAAACAATGCATTTGTTACAGGAAAATCTATCAAACATTTTCTTAAACCACCAAAAACTTAAGTAATATGGTCACAATGATAATAACACTTATTTTCAGAACATGAACTAACACACAGATCTATTTTCTTTGAGTCCTAGTATGCTTAAGTACCCAAGTAGGAGTTTTTGATAAAAACTGCTTGAGGGCTGGGTATTTTTTTTTTCTTGGCTTTGGCTGACAAAGTATTTTTCACTTATCTTTAATACTCTTTGATGGTAGTCATTAACATGTACTTAAGACTTCATCATGTTGTATACCTAAATGACCTAAACATACGGGGAGAGAGTGAGGGCACAAGCAGGGGTGAGGCTAAGAAGGCCACCCGCCCATCTACAGCTAAGTCATTAGGGGTAAATGGAAAAAGCAGACCTCCACAAATACGCACCAACTTAACAAGGAGATGTTTAGACTCTAGCTGCGTAATCGAAAATACAAGTTGACCTCTGGTAGTTTTATAGCGGTGATTTTCAACTGGTGTGCCATGGCGCACTGGTGTGCTGTGAGAGGCTGTTAGGTGTGCCATGAAAAATTTCAAAGAGAATTAATTAATTTATTTTCAAAAGAACTTCAAAGCACAGAGAGTATATTCTGTTTTTTACTCTTTTTCGTTTTTTGATCAACAAAATTTAAGTGTGCCGCAGAAGTTCAACTATAGCTTGAAGTGTGCCATGAGATAAAAAAGGTTGAAAAACCCTGTTTTATAGTGAGGGATGAAATTAATAAATTTGAGTTGTTTCCCTGTTCCTGAAGTAACTATGAGTTTTATAAAATCACTAAGCCTTTAAAGATTTATTCGGCCATTTTTTAAATGATACAATTATGATGAAAACTAAATGGGAAAAAAAAAGTGAAGTCTCCCTGAAAACACAAAGTACTTTATAAGCACACATGATTTCTATAACTAATAAAAAACACTATTGCGATGTTATATCTATCTTTACCAATAAGCAATATTAAATAATTAATAAAGTAAATTATTAAGTGATAACAAGGTATCTAGGTTTGTGCCCAGTGTCTTCTGAATTATTGCAGAAGTGTTAATTTTCTTAGATGTTTCTAGTTGTCTATTTGTTTATCTCAGTCTTGACAGCATTGTGAGGCTAGGAGTGCCCACACTTAAGCACCATCAGTCCATAACTAAGGAGGTAAATTAAAAATGAGTTAATGGGCTCAGTGCCTGTAGCTCAGCAGCCAGGGTGCCAGCCACATAAACTGCAGCTGGCAGGTTTGAATCCAGACTGAGTGTGCCAAACAACAATGACAACTGCAACAAAAATAGCCGGCATTGTGGCATGCACCTGTAGTTCCAGCTACTCAGGAGGCTGAGGCAAGAGAATCACCTAAGCCTAAGAGCTGGAGGTTGCTGTGAGCTGTGACGCCACAGTACTCTACTGAGGGCGATATAGTGAAACTCTGTCTCAATATACATGTATATATATATATATTGAGTTAATGCATATGGCTTTTTTATCTGAATCAGAATTTCCCACTCCTCTTGAGCAATAACTTGCAAAGAGTTGCCCCTTCCAGGGCACTGATTTGATTCCTCTGCACAGTGCACTGAAGACTGAACAACAAACTGGACAGTTGGATGTGTCTGTCACAGTCTGTCACTGTATCTCCATTTCCTATTTAAATTGTCAGGTGAATTTCATTATCACATGAAAATCGAACAATGGAAGAATTCATCTATTTGAAAAATGTTTTAAGTTCTCTCCTAAGAAAAAGGGCTAGTATCCTGTATAGGCCCAAAATATCACTCACAAAAGCACAGTTTAATCTAGAATTTAAAATGTCATAAGATCTTTTCTTGGAATACAATAAAAATTTCTTTTTCTTTTCTTTTTTTTTTTTTTTTTTTGAGACAAGAGCCTCAAGCTGTCCCCCTGGGTAGAGTGCTATGGCATCACAGCTCACAGTAACCTCCAACTCCTGGGCTCAAGCAAGTCTCCTGCCTCAGCCTCCCAAGTAGCTGGGACCACAGGCACCCACCACAACACCCAGCTATTTTTTGATTGCAGTCGTTGTTTGGTGGCCCCGGGCTGAATTCGAACCTGCCACCTTGGGTGTACATGGCTGGCGCCTTAGCAACTTGAGCCACAGGGGCCGAGCCAAAATTTCTTGATGAATATGATTAATTGTTATCAGGTTAAATTGTTATTTTCTCTAAATAATTTTTCTAAAAAGCACTGAATATGCTATGAAGATGATTTCTGATGTGTGTTTCCAGAGAATACCCTAAAAATCCCGTTTTTAAATCCCGGATTTGGAAGCTGTGACGAAGCCTTTATCACTGGCCTAAAGCCTGGTGGACATTTGCTCAGTTCTTGGCCCAGCTAATGCGGTGTGCAGATTCAAAGGTCGAAAACATATTGTGCTTGGAAAAAGCAAAGGATAAGTCGTAAAAGAAATGTCTTAAAAATGACTTTAAACGAAATCATCATCTTCTCTTAATTAACAGCTAAAATGGGAAGCGGAATTTTAAAGTTTCCTGTGAGACATCTTTACGTGATTAATGTACAGGGTAAGTCTTTTTGTTATCGTTATATAAGCATGGGGAAAATACATATACAAAAAGAGACTTTAAACAATTGATGATGACATACAGGGGAAAAACCAGAACACAACCAATGTTTCTGTATGGTGTTCTTGAGGCTTATTTGTTGAAAAAGAAAAATCCACCTCTTCTAGCTCCCCACGGCTTTGACGCCAACCCAGCATTTCCCATAGTAGGCTCTAGAGTACGCTCTGCCAAAATAATGCTGATATTAATGCTAATAAATTCTTTCTGCTAGTCTATCCTTTATTGGTGATTTTTTATGTTTAGTCTATTCTTTGAAATTCTTTATGGTCAATCTATTTCTTTCTGGAGATTCTTTATGCTTAGTCTGTTTTTTATAAGGAGATTTATAATACACATTAACATATAGTGCATGAAGCACACTAAAAAATCATCTGAAAGAAATTAGACATTTTTTAAAAGAACTTCCAACTTACTTAACGGCAGCACATTCCTCTTTCATATAACACTTAGTAACAACCTGCAAGATAGACCTGAAGAAACCTTTCCCCTGCCTCTGCTGTAATACTTACCTCTTTTCTCCCTCTTTTCATCTGGTAAGGTGAGAAAAAGTAAGAATGAGCATGAGAAGGAAAGAACTGCCCCGAAAATCAAAAGTTCCCACAACCCTAAATAGTCTCAACTTCTTTCTACCCAAGCACTGTATACAGACTACTGCGCGCTTGAAAATATCTGATAGCAGCTGAGGGAAGCTTCTGTTTTCCTCCAAAGATAATTTGCTCACAAACCAAGAAGACTGTCAATGAAGCCAGCAGAGAGAGAGGGTGAACACACTAGGATGTCTAATCACTTACCTTAGGATAAGGATACTGCTTTCCTTTGGGATACAGCGCTCCAGTAAACCGAGGGATGACCATGGTTGGCACCATTGAGTTATTAAGCATCAGGAAGGCAAGCCTTTCTCCATCGGGCGACCACCAGTGGGCGATGTGAGAGTGCAGAATTTCCTCTAGAATAAATGAGTGTTATTTGAGACCAACTGTAGAGATGTGGGCTCAGTGACCCACAAACATCTGTCCTTGAAATCTCCGTGGTACCCACATGTTCTAATCTAGACCGTCCATTGGATTTTATTTTCTCTCCTGAGAATTCCATATTTCTCAGTTACCCTTTTTGCAGGAAAAGCAGCTGCAGAAGGAAAGAATGAAGCAATGAAGTCGGGGTTTCATGGATTGCCAGCAAAATGAGCCAAGCAGATGAAAGCACTACTGGAGTAAAAGAATGAAAACGGTTACTCAAGAGTGAGCTACGACCAAAGCCATATCCTCATGGTCACTCACGCACATTTGCATGTGTCACGTTTCCATTCTCTCCCTGTCAAGCAAGGTGAGGACCATCTCAACTCATCAAACTATTTTATGTTCTCAGCAAGTGGAAGAAGAATTACACAGTTGGCTTTCATCTAACGTAAGATCCACTTTTATATACCTGCTTTCTGGTCCAGAACGTGAACCTGTAGGAACTACATGAAAAGGGCCCCCATACCCTCTGGGGAGGGCATGACCATTATAATCCTTTGGCAGGAGGTTAGAAGAACGAGAGTGAAGTCAGGTTATTCTCTGGCTCCATCCTGCAAAGTCACCTCAGGCTGGCTGTGAACTTTAAATGATGTCACTACTTCAGTCAATGCAGCCATCTCTGTACAATTTTCATCTCTGTGGTCATAGAGATGAAATAATAGCTTGGCTGCTACTGATTCAGATGACAGTACGTTCCTCTGTGGTTTCCCTACACCTCTATCTTTGTAACTGTTCCCTTTGTAAATAAATCCTCTTCAAAGTACCTTATTGAGTATGCTGACTCTTGAGACTCTGACAGATACAGTAATTAATATTAGTGGACTCAGAAAAGAAACTTTCAAAATTAGTTTTTTGAGATTAGGTTTGTCACATTTCTGTAGATAGACAGATAGAAGCATATATGTAATCATTACCTTTCTAGGTGGGAATTGGAGGGGGGACAATCCATTGCAAGGGATGGCTCGTCAGAGATCAAATATCACTGTTAGTGACATCATCGAATAAAACATAGACAGAGGGAGAAAGACATTGGGAGAACAAGTGCTCGTGGCACTCAGTTGATTTAACCATAGTGATCGCAAAGATTGTGAAACATAGTTCACATGGTTCTTCTGACATCCCAGTGAGATTACGCAGGAAAAAACAGAAATTGAAACCATGATTATAAAATTAAGAATGCAAAAACAGAACCAAAGGTCATCATGACATCTTTGGAAGAGTCTCCTATTCTGTAGTCGCAGGGGAGCAGTGGCTGCAGTCCAGAAGAATATGGTAATTGTTGCAGAGGTGTAATGCAAATTAGGAACTCAATTCCACCTGTGCTTTTAAGCAAAAAAAAAAAAAAAAAAAAAAAAAAAAAAAAAAAAACAGGTATTGGTAAAGAAGGATTGAGACCCTGACACATAGGATAAGAATATTAGGGTAAACGTATGCAGTATACTTAGAATTTCTGGGCCAGTCTCATAAATAATACATTTTGGGTTTGAATACTGCTGTATGTAGATAGTTTTATGGCTGAAGGGTTTGAAAACCAAAATTCCCACAAGTCTTCTTGTTGACAGAGGCAACAGCCATCTGTGGGAAAGAGACCTCCCTCTGCACAAAGGCAGAGAATGGGAGCCAAATCTCTGTTTAGGTTTGAGACTCTGCAATACTGGGGATATTTCTATAGACACAGCAGTCTGGGGACACCCTAGAATATCATATTGAGATATCACTTCTAAAGTGAGAGAAAAACTGTTGGGATTATATTTATACAAAAGTACAAAGGAATCGAACTCTGGATTTAGAAGACAACATAAACCACATTCACATGCGTTGTTCTGTTCCATCTCCTAGGCAACCTGCATAGCTGCCTGTTCTGAGTGGAACCTGAGCACCAGAGTTCCTGCAACATAGTAAGGCCATGATGCCACCTTCCCTGCCTCCTGCACCTCGTGACCCAGCAGAGCCAATGGTTAAATGTTCACGGCAGACAGAGATGTTGTGTGGAGCCTTTAGCCTACATACGATTAGCACAGCAGAAACATTACCAGCTTTAGAGAAAGGCCATCACCTGTTGTGCAGAAACATATTATCTGCTTCAAAAGAAGCTCCCTCCTGCTTTGTGCTAGAAATAATTAGCCTGACCATGAAAATACCAAGTGACTTTGCGACCAAAATGCATACCATGAACTGATTGTTACCTGATCCACTGACCATAAATCTGAGTACATATAGCTACATTCCACTATAAAATAAAAGTGGAATAAAACAAAACATACGTCACTGCCTACAGTATTTCATCCTTGGCTTCCTCCTCTCTCCCCTTCTCACATCTGTGCCACAAAGTGTGTTTTCTTTTTTCTTTCTTCCTTTTTCTTTTTGCAGTTTTTAGCCAGGGCTGGGTTTGAACCCGCCACCTCTGGCATATGGGGCCAGCACTCTACTCCTTTGAGCCACAGGCACTGCCCACAAAGTATGTTTTCTAACATGAGTTAGAAAAGGCAGAAAGAAAGCTGTCCTGGGTTATGGGCACGTCGGCATGATGAACGAGAACACGCTGGAACCTGGTGGGCTCTGCAGTGCAGCCTCATTTATGAGCGACAGCAAAAGATGATAATAAACATTAACCCTCTGAGTGGGCAGAATCATAAACAGAATATTTAAATCTGAATATGGAATCAAGGATCCTTCCCAACTCACAGACATTAACTAATACACGGCTGCTTGACCAGGAATTTGGGGAAAGTGAAATTAGAAAATCTGTGACAAGGTAGTTCAGGAAAATATAAGTGAATGGACTTATCAAAAGGGCAAAAAAATGAATATATTAGTGTCCAACTTAATATCCACCAGTGCAGATTATAGCAGAGGAGGCTCTCAATAACCAGATGGACTAAAAGAGTGTCCAGGGGATGTTGGTCAGCCGCTGGCTCCCGCCATGACCTGCCAGTGGTAGTGAACATCACAGCTGACTACTTGATGGCAAGTAGATTACATGGGAACCTTCCATCAAGAAGAGGTAGTCTTTTGTTCTGATAGTGATAAGTACATATGTTGGGTGTGAATTTTTTCTTGTTCCCTATTCAGCATGACTATTCACAGAATTACAGGAAGGCTTACCTATTACCATAATAACCCACACTCTATTACCTCCTAACAGGAAATATTCTATGAAAAAAAGAAGGTTAATGGGTTTAGTGCATAGCATGGCCAGGAGGTATAGATCTAAGAACTCAAGGGTAAAAGTCACAGCATTCTTTCACTATCATACCAATAACCCATTGGATAGAATTTCCTTTTTGTTCTCATAATCATGAATTGGTAAATTTAGATGTTCATTGCTTAACAGAGGAGAGTCTTGAACAGAAATACAGTCAAAATTCTGCTCCTCTGAATTGGAAGCTTAGATTTCCCCCTAACCACTGTGGGCTCATTATAAACCAAAAAACACATTTAAAAAAAAAACCCTGGAAAAACATAGTCACTATGCTTGCTCTGGTGATTGATCTCACCTGCCAGGAGTAAAATATGTCTTTGCTATAAAAAATAGGGTAAAGGGAAACTTATTTGGAACTTAGATTATTCATAAATACCTATTTTACCAATAGTATTATTTTTTAGTATTGGCCAATGGAATACTGAAATTATAGCAACCTAATTTACTAAGGAGTAAACTTGTCAGGAACAAAGTTTTAGTTGGATCCCCTTGTTAACTAACCTGCCTAGTTGACATCCTGGCAGAGAGTAAAGGGAAAAGGAATGGGTAGTTGACGAAGGAAACCATGGTTGCAATTAAGACCACATAATAAGCTTATTTCTTTTCTTAATGGTGCATTTTTCCTGCAACCTTCTATGAAAAATAAAAGGGGTGGCTATATTTATAAATTTCAAATGTATAAGTGGACTGGTCCTATTCTGCAAAAAAAAAAAAAAGTAGCAGATGGGACTTAGTGTGTTTCTCTTTCTGGGACACAAACTTTAATCTGAATAATGAGAATATTCCCTCGTTTTCTTACTTTCTGTTAGATATGACCCATGTGAAACCAACTCAAAGAGAGTGAGTGCATAGAATCTATTTTCCTGGTTCCCCGGCATTGAAATCATATGAATCTGGCCTTGTTCAACCAAAACTCACTGTTTCCATTACTTTGGAAAATCTATGGAATTTTTTCTTCTGGTGTGTGATGACAGCTGCCTCCCCTCCCCTACTTGGGTGTTAATGGCTAAACCATTACTAGCTGCAGTTGGTGGAATGTCTCTTGTTCTTGATAAGTGGTCCTTTCAAAGACTAAACCTCCTTACAATACTCTTTTTTGAATGTGCTATTTTTTCTCCCAGCTCTGATCTGACTCTGGATTATATAAATAATTTAACAATTAAATTGAGGAGACATGAGTTATACAAATGACATACTAAAGAAAAAATAGATATGTTAAGGGCTAATTTGAGTGTAAAGTCTAAGTCCTACAAGATGTGACAATATTTAAAATCCTATTGACTAAAGTCATTACTGTTCTGAGAAGCAGGTTCTGTGGCAGGTGCTGAAAGATGTCAACCCAGCACTTCTCAAGAGTAAGCCTGGCCCAAATTTGAGGACACCGTTCAATAGAAATAAAGTACCACCTACTTTCATTCATTTTAGAGTGATTAATGCCTAATGTTATCCTCACAAAATTGCTAACATATGAAAATAATATATACAAAAATTTACAGATGCAAAAATAAAGCTAAGTGGAATTGGAAGGAGGTAAATAAAGGAATCTTTAATATGCATTTACTTAACAGTCATCCTGGATAAGGCATAAGCTCCTTTAATTGTAACTAATGGGAACATTTACTCATGGATTCAAACTTCCTATGTTAATTATATTATATTATTTACAAATAATTTATTTTTACAAATTGCATTCCATTATCATTTAGCACGAAGCTTGGCTCTCCATCA